CCATTATTAATGAAGAAATACATATTCTAAGAACATAGGGGTTTATCATTTTCAATCAAAAAATGATTATTTTGATATTTTGATTACCAACTTTGAACAGCTCCAACTTTTCTCCTAGAGGTTAGAGTCACATTCAGGGTTTGAATAAATATGTAAAATACCGACCAAAAGAAAAAAGTCTACCTGTTGTTAAAATCAAATTAAAAATTTGCGAAAAACATTGCGTTGACACGCAGTGTTATGAAACCTTATTGCCATCTCCCTTGATTTAGGTGCCACGATATTCCTGATTACGATAGTAATTATGTATCCAATGGAATGACGTTTGGAGGGATATAGAGAACGGCTCTGTCCGTACGTACGTCTGTCCGGGCAATAACTCAAATAGCGTTGTCCTAATATTGGTTACAGTATAAACAAGCCCCCTAGTAGAGAAAATTCACTTTTTCTGAGCTACCAGGGCAGCGTTTGGCTTAACATCTTTGTCAGGCCTATATTCTTAAAATGGATGGACATGGCTATCTAGGCTATTTCAGCATTTAGGAGTGTAAATTAAGTTTAAAGTTACCATAAGAGGAGCCTTATTTATATGTTTTTAGGATTTCAAGATTGTAACTGCAGGAATTTCAGCTTGTTGAACACGTAACCGGAGTTCCCAGGCTTTGCCTTGTAAGTAATAAACAATTAAAGTAAAATTAGAGAATAGGGGAGAGGGCAAATCTTTAGTTTTCCGGGGAATGAAGTACAAAGGCATCGTCGGTTCCCACGCTCAATCACTACGTTCTACGTTCTGAGGATAGGTCCGAAGCTTGATGAAGCAAGATGGTACAAAGGTCCATTTGCAGTATGCAGGGCAAGTGATTTTAGACAGTCGTATCTTTCACCATGAGTAATTTCTGGCCATAAATACAGTGGTTTTTATAAGAATAATTTGTTTTCTTTCAAGTAAAGTGTCTATGATGATAAAAAATATTAATCAAACAATTCGAAAAATTATGAGTACTGCACATGGACCTTTCACGGACTTTTTCAGAAAACATATAAGCAGTGGCGTGAACGAATGTGCGGCAAAACTACATGCGCAGTTTTGAAAAGTGAGAAGAATTAGAAAAAGGCTTATTAATCGAGCACACTGAAGAAATTAGTAAAATATTGATAGTTACCTGGTTTCTAATACTGTAGAAAATGCAAAGTAATCATTATTGCTCTGTTTGGTAGATAATCAACAGATTGAATTCCCTTACCAACATGCTTTATTTCATTAAAATCGAGCAACTATCATATTGACTATCGTATCTTATGAATTTTTAAAAGTAAAATGCAGTTTCGTTTGAGTATTTGGAATTACGTTAACGTTCTCTTCGCGAATTTGAGAGAAAAATGGGTTTTTTCAAAAACTACTTGATCAATACCTTTGCAATTTTCATTTTTACCGAAATTATATTCGAATAATAATAAGTCAGCATTTATCTATTTTCTTACTTGTTATATATGTATATTTCTTTATTGCGACCATAATTGATCATCATAATATACATTAATTTATGTTAACATATATACAAACATTTAGGTGAACAATACAAGGTCGGGATGATATTTACAAAATGGCGTTTGTTCGATGTTGATACATCACATACAAAGTGTTAACAATAAATATACAGTCATCCTGCTCATCTGGAGCGAAGATAAAGGGCAATACGCCATCCCCATATTTGTCAATAAGGGGTTTTAATAATAATCGACGACTCTTAAGTTCAGTACAATCCTTTATAAAATGAATTAATGTTTCACACTCTCCACATAAAGGACACAATCTATTTTCTTTAGCTTCTGCATACCTCCCAATGGCTTCCCCCACCAGCAGCCGTACCATAAACTTACATTTGAAAATGAGATCAGGCCTAAATTTACATAATTGGTACCATATTATTGGAACTCGATTATTGACGACATCTCTGTACGTCTTAATCTTAGTATACATCATACATTTTAGATGCCATCTATTTATGTAGTAATTGGATACAGCATTTTTAGAAATTTTCTTCCAATGATGTTTTTTGGGGAATATACCTTCGTCGATATAGCTCTTCATTCTATCTAAGAGATTAAACCTTGTACCAAGTTTGATTATTTCAGCTATAGGCGAAGACACTGACATCCCTACGATAAATATTTTAAAAAGTAGGATGTACCATCTAGCAATACTCACAGCTTTACATTGTCCAGCACAAGTGTTAAAAATATGCCAAAAGTACATGAGTTTCTTCATTGCAATAACTTCACTGATGTCACACCAGCCTATCTGTGACAAGGATGCACAATCTGTTGTATGTTTTGGTAAACCTTGAATATGTTTAGCTGTTTGAGTATGGAAACGTTCTAGTTTACCCAGGCTGGAGTCATTGTATTCAAGAACCTCTGCTCCATTAAGAACAGTGGGAATTGACACTGCCCAGTACAGTTTGGAAGCTGATAGGGGGTTTACAGTACAATTTTCAGGAGTTATACAGTCGACTGTAGCATATAAATTCCTTCTACCTTTAGAAATACCATTCTCAATGTGGTAACCAATGTCTCTCTGTGTAACAGGTAGTCCTAAATGAACAAGTTCATTTACAATGGCAATGTTGTCTATACCGAAATTAAAAGGGAGTACGTCTTTATTCCTCCCTTTAACAAAATGAACTGCAGAGCATTTTTTGGGATGAATTTGAAAACGCCACCTATTGGCGTAGTTATAAACTATATTTAACATTGATTGCATGGTATTTCTAAAAGACGAAATTAAAATGGTGTCATCTGCATAGGATGGAGCACAACATGACATCCCTCGTATAGCACAGCCTAGCCCAGAGTTAACGAGCTCTTCCAATAAGGGATTCATGAATCGTACATATAATTCCATTGATAAAACCCCTCCCTGATGAACGCCCTGACTTACAATGAATTTTTCACTACATTTACCCTTTACTCTGACACAACATTTATAACCTTCATAAGTTTCAAGGATCATCTTCCATAATTTGCCATTTATACCCTGGTTATACAAAATGTACATTAAGCCATTTAACCACACAGTATCAAAAGCTTTTTTCACATCAATAGCCAGAGCGTAAGCCTCAGACCCATTTTCTAATTGATTTGCAATAGTCTCCCTTAGTATTAACGACGTGTCAAGACAAGAAGCGCCAGACTGTGCAGCATACTGTAATTTGGATCGACAAAAATCACCACATAGTTTACTCCGTTCAAGTATTAATCTGTCTAGAATTTTGCTATACGAACACATGAGAGTAATACCCCTGTGGTTATCCTTGTCTAAGATATCCTTGTTATTACCCTTGTATAACGTAATTATGACACCAATCTTTAAACTGCATGGGACATACTCAAGTTTAAACATACAATTAAAAATCATAGTAAGGACCTCGATAAGGGTCTCACCACCATACCTTAGGTGCTCTGCTGAGATACCATCTATGCCACATGCTTTATTACAATTTAAGGATTTAATAGCCATGGCCAGATCATTCTCATCAAAACATTCATTAAAAGAGCCATCATTATTCTCTGAATATCCACGCTTCATGAAGTCCATCATTGCATTAACATGTGCTTTAAAATCTATGTCAAAATTATCACATTCCTTTGGAGTAAAAAGCTGACTAAAATAATTAGACCATTCTTGCCTTACAGCATCTGGCTCTTGAAGTACTATACCGTGGTCATTTCTAATACAATTGGAATTTTTCCCAGATTTCTTGTGCCTATTGGCCAAAAACCAGTAGTACCTTGCATCTATATCTTGACTTTCATCAATATCTTTCTGACAATTAATATTATATTCTACCTCAGCCTGTCTCAAGGCACGTCTAAATGCTCTTTTGGCATCTTTGTATCTCAACCAAAAAACATTGTTACCACGATGCATACCACTTCTTTTCCACTCTGACCACATTTTATTTTTTGCTTTCAAGAGGTCTTTAATGCTAGAATTCCAATAAGGTTTAAGTCTCTTGTTATATTTCCTTTTGGGAATTCTATCATTGGAAACAGTTTTAAGGATATCCGTAACCCGGTTTAACACAGAATCTATATACTCTTTACTGACGTCACAATCTAAAATTTTATTCTCGAGGTTAATCTTAATTTCCGCAAGACCCTGACTAACACCCTTGGTAAATAATTCTTCAATGTCACATTTTGAAAGCTTATCCCATGCATTGCGGCAATTATTTCCAGGTGCACTATTACCAGCATTGAAATCATTTATATTTGATAAGTTTACATTTACAACTAAGGACAGATGATCTGATGTGTTGAGTAGTTCATCTTCATTTGTAATCCCTCCATTAACATATCTGTAAAAAGTGCTTGATATAACACAATGATCAATGTAAGAGGTCCCCAAGTAATCCCTGCTAAAAGTGTAATTAGGCCCTTTCCACAAATCATTATACATGTCGATAGCCATCAGGCCATTCCTCTGCATAAATTCATGAAATTTAAAACCATTCCGCGAGGCACAGGTCTGCCCACGATCACCACATAAGCCATCAATGCATGCATTTATATCACCAAATATAATAATATCGCTATCCGCCATTAAGGAGGACACACATGTATCCAGCTCATCAAGCACCTCAACATAATTAACCTTTTTACAATTCTGTTGTGGTAGATAAACACAAAATAGTATGACACGTGTGTTATTATTACATTGCATGCTAATCGCACAAATTCTATCCTTGTATTTAACCTTAAGATTAACTTTAGATACCACTGCCTGCAAAGATTTATTAACCATAATGGCAATACCGCCATGACCAATTATGTGACCTTTATTTAATGGACATAAGTCCGGACTAGATTCAAAGCATTCACAATAAAAATCCTGGTTAACGTTTTCCAAAATATGTTTTGAATGTTGATGTAACCAATGCTCCTGTAAGAGGATAATATCATTACTCTGCATTAACTTAGAAAGATATGGGATTGAAGTTCCAAGCCCATTGGCATTCCACGAGCATATATTTATCCCTGATTCAAATTCAGATCCACTTATTTTGTTAAAAAAATATGAAGTACCGTTTGGTTTTTGAAAAGATACCAGTGCAATAATACAGACTATAAACAGGATCTTTATTGTATGTGCGTACATATTGAATATTAAGTGTTATATTAATACAATGCTTAGTTTCCATCATCATTGACGGACCAAATACTATCACCGACGCCTTTAGCCCGTAGTCGGGGACCAAAGTAACTGGGACCAGATTTACGGAACCACTCCCTGCATGTCACATATTCTGGCCATTCATAGTCATACATTAAGTAGTATTTGTTTTCCTCGGTGACATTAAGGCGTATGCCCACAGTGTCATCTGCATACTTATTTTTCACCACCTTAACATTATAAGCCCTAATGTTCAATTGACTCATAGTATCTAACATTTGTTTTTCAAGATCACCGGGGGTCTCATCAGACTCCATGGCAATATTTCTTACATATAAAGTGCATGTTTTTTCTCGTCTGACACCGTGCAGTCCGCGGTGTTGTGGATTCCTCGTAGATCTATATTGTCGTTTTCTCGCCACGGTAGTGAAACCATCCGTTGACTGTACATGTGGTTTCTTAACGGCATCGACGTAAGATTCAATCGGATCATCGTGGCATTTAACGGCATCGGAACGGTCCGTTATAGGCACCAACTCAATCTGCTTATAGGTAGTACTTCTTGAAATATGAATGTTAAAGACAAAAACAAGTTGAACTTAAAATTGTTGATTTTTCAATAACGCGTTCAATTGATTTCAATGAGAGAGTGCATAAATTCAGTTCTAGAAAAGCTATTACCTTGATTTTTATTTAATTTGGAAGATAATAGATCATTATTTTAAGAAATATAGCATTTTTGGCACCAAAAATTATTTTGAAAGAAAATTAACAATTTATCACAAAATGTCAAAAACGTAGTCAGCTACTTAGTCACGTTGACCTCAATTACTCAGATGCGAGTAGGTAGTTACCAGTTTCGCCACCAGGTGGCTGATTCGGGGGAAATAACATGGCTGGGTCTTACAAAATTCCCCTAAACCTGAATATTCATCAGTTTTACTGGTTCACTTTCCATATTATCCTTATGTATCTGATAGTTATACAAATTAAATATGTCCAGTAAATGAAAATATTATCTGCCCAACACAAGAAAATATATTTCCATTTTTGTGATTTTACAACGTGGGGTCTATGGGGAATCTCCCCGACCTAGAAGTCACATTTTCAAAGAAGATTAAATTTTCAAAGTTGATAAACTCTTTTCAAAACGTCATTTCTAGATGTAATTTTACATGTAGATTCCAAATATGACATCAGTTTGACTGGATTTTGAATTTTTAATGACATAAATATAAATCAAGATTATTTCTACTCGCATCTAGGATATTTGACCTTTGTTGAGGGGAGGGGGGTTATTTGGTCTTGCAAATAGTGTCATAAAAAAGGTCGCAGACATCAGACAATACTGTGTATCATTTTCAATTATTCAAAAAGACTGCTTTAGGACTCATTAATGATAACAAATCTCATTGTTATCTGGAAATTGGTCGTCTATAGCGTTGAGAAAATAAACATTTTCACTTGAAAAGTGAGAATGAGTTGTGTCGAGATTTAAAAGATCGGCTTTCCATGGTGATTAAATAGGCGTTTTGATATAGAAGATTTGACACAATTTTTTCATATTTTTGGCGTTGTGTTGAATTTATACCCTGATAAGGAATGGATGATGTGAGAGCAGCAACTGTTTATGGGAAAACGATTCTGCCCTTAATAAAATAATAATATAAATCTAATTTCAGTTGGCATGGAACTAACTTTACTGTAAAATGACAGCATAGAATTATGCAAGTTCAAATACTTTATTAACATTTACACAAAATGTACATATCTATGGTTAGCAGAAAAATAACTACTACAAATGTGGTAAAACCATATACTGAACTTCTTGTTCAGTGTACAGGGTGTTCCAAAAGTAACAGGACTGGTGCTGGCATTTCGTCAATTTTGCACTGAGTATCTTCAAATTTTCACAAATTGTACTTTGAAGTATTGCAACTTAAATTACAAAGTTTCAGAAAAAATGATGAAATGCGGTTAGAGTTATGGTTACTATTGTAACATGACATTCCAATACCCGGGGCAACTTTTTTCCTGAAAATGTGATATCTAACATTTTTGTATTACTGAAGAAAGTATCTAATTCACCTATTATAATACAACATTTCTTGTTTATTTTATTAGTTCCTTTGTTGTAAAGGTGTTGCTATACAACTCAGATTCAAGTATAATTTCATAATGATAATATAATAACATTTGTTCAATTTCCTGGAATATCACTATGTTTAACAGTCTGAACAATTCAAGGTTGAGTTTTTGAAAAGACCCAATTTGAAGCCAGTCATCTACCTTGATAGCGCGCCTGCCAGCAGGTCGGCATTAAAGACCATGCAGCTATAGAAGAACTAGGTACTTGAGGTCTAAAACCATGCACCATACTCCTCTGATCATGCAATATCTAATTTTTACTTATATTGAGAACAGAATGCTAATCAGTGCTGTAAGACCTTTAAATATGAGAATGACCTTCTCCAAATTGTCCAATCGATCCTGCGTGACATGTCCTCAAATGGGTTCACTCATGTGTTTGGGTCATGGATACAGAGTACTACTCTTGTACTGACCAAAGAGGAGCCTATTTTTCAAAGTAGAGGATACGAAGGAATATCAAATGATGTAAAACAAATGTAATTCCCATCAGTTGTTGCATTTTAACTTTGATATGGCATGTACAAATTACTAAATGATATGGCATGTACAAAATGCTTAATGTCTCTGTAACTTTTTTGCGTGGAATGTTGCCCCGGGTATTGTGATGTCATGTTACTATAGCAACCATAACTCTACCCGAGTTTCATATATTTTGTAGAAACTTTGCAGTCTTAGTAAAGCATGGGCGTAGCCAGGGGGGGTGCGATGGGTGCGATCGCACCCCCCCCCCCCCCCCATAATCTTTGAAAATATGACCATTGGATAGAGGTAGAAAAGAGCTTTAAAATGCTTTTTATTTGAAGCTTCTAGCTCAATTTTGAAGGAAGTTGCATCAATTTTTGTAAAATTCAAAAGAAATCTTAATTTTTTGTGTTGCTTATGGCAAAATCGCACCCCCCCCCTGACCGAAAACTGAAAAATTTTCGGCGATCGCACCCCCCCCCTGACTGAAAGCTGGCTACGCCCCTGTAAAGATACATGAAAGTACATTATGTAAACTTTTGAGGACGATTGGTGCATATTTGACAAAATGCCAGCACCAGTCCTGTTACTTTTGGAACACCCTGTATGCATTGTATAGAAATATGATGAGTGATAAAAATCTGTAATGTATTGTTTTATAACAACATTTAAATACATTTGCTGTTAATTGCACAAAAACCAGGCTGAGATTTCATGCTTTACCAAAATAAAGTACTTCTCAAAAATGTAGGCTTCATTCGGAGGGTGGTCTGGTGTTGCACATATATATCTCATTTCATTAATTTGAAGATTTAATCTACCATTGACGCTCATATTAAATCTACCTCTAAGTCAAAAGAGTAAGTTAAAATACTTAATTACATGTCTATGGTAAGCGGAAAATAATTACTACATATGTGGTAAATCCATATACTTCTTGTACATATTGTTTGAGTAGAACATCTAACATATATATAGATACAAAAACATTTTAAAAATAAAAGAAATATTTAAATATATCGACCTGAGCAATATGTGAAGTCATACTGGTGGTCCATAGTGTCGATCAAGAATGCAATTAATGACCGGCAATTTTCCCCGGGAAATTAGATATCGTTCAGTGCGTAAGATTTTCTTGCTGTTTCAGTTCTGGTCATAAACGGTGGTAATAATACCATGGCCCATGATAATAGTACTAATAACGACATTTCTGCGGGCAAAATAATGAAATATCGGACCTTGGGCCTTTGCCCCTCGGTCCAATATTTCACTATATTGCCCTTCGAAATGACGTTATTGTACTATTCGTGAATGTTTTATTGAGCAGTTTAAAATATGAATATTAATAGAAATCTGTAATAGCCCTTTATTGTTTTATAACAACATTTGAATACATGTGCTATACATACAAAAGCATTTCAAAAATAAAACAAATATAAGTAAATATATCATGAAGTTTGTCAGTATCAAATAACATACTATTTGTGAATGTTTTTATTGAGCAGTTTAAAATATAAATATTAGCAGAAATCTATAATATATTGTTTTATAACAACATTTGAATACATGTTATTACAGGGTGGGCCAAAAAATGCAACTTATTTTTCAAAATGCTAGAACTTTTTTAATTTTTGATATTAAATCATAATTTGCATACCAAGTGAATCAGGATACATTCAACATGTTCGAATATCAAACACATTCAAATACCCAAATATCCACATACCCACACTGTAAATTGCACAACAATAAGGCTGAGTTTTCATGCTTACACAGAAATAAAGCACTACTCAGTTGGCTTCATTCGGAGAGTGGTCTGGTGATGGTCTATATCTCATCTCATTAACTCGAAGATTTAATCTCCTATTGGCTCTCATGTTAAATTCACCTTTCCAAGAAAGACAAGTTTAAATGTTCAAAAATTGTGAAGAATATCAAAGACACATTTAAATATCCCATAAGGTATCAAAATTAGAGGTGTAAACTAGTCTAGCTATCAGCGCTTGTGAGCCCCTCCCAAACTATACGCCTGTAAGTGAAGTAGATAGATAGGGGGGGGGGTGGTCCACTGTCTTGAAGCAAAACTACTGTAAACAAGTAAAAATTGAATTCAATAAGTTTATACAGATACAGCACATCAGTCAACAGGGCAAGCTATCAAAATTAATTTTAAATTAAATGTTGGTATGTATATGCATAATCCTCATCTTTCTATTTTATAATATGTTCTTTACCCTGTGACATTTTCCTCGAAGTTCTATTATTATACTACCTGATAACAGTGCATGTTGAGTGAGCAACTAACAGTAAGATGTTTCATAAACTTTAATTAAAAAAACTAAGATAAGGGGTGGTTAAAAAACGGAAACCCTGCATTTTCCTTATATCTGTCATATTAATTACTCCCTGATATGTCACACATTTGTACATCATTCAATTTCCTACTACCCTACCATATTTCATGACCATCAGACTGATAGTTTTACACAATTTTACAGCACTTTGAACAACATGTTTCAGGTTTGGCCATTATTGCACTGTAGGCAAACTGTCCTGCAGTTGTCAATGATCCAAATGCATTCCTCAGCAGGTATGGCCTGAATGATACAGATGATCTCACTTTTGAGGTCTGCAATTGTCCTGAGGTCATTCTTATACACTTTATCTCGGCCATATCCTCATAGGTAGGAACATTTTGGACGACATATGCGAGTTGGTCTACAGCTCAATAGTGGCCACTGGGAATGTTCTATAAAGTGCTGTAACACTGTGACTATCAATCTGATTGTCATGAAATAAGGTAGGCAGGTAGGAAATTGAGTGATGTACAAATGTGCAAAGTTAGTTCTTTAAATTACAAAGATATTAAGAAAATGGTGTTAGGGTTTCCAGTTTTTTTGACCACCCTGTATTTCCGTGTATAATACATTCATGCATCGGCTTTCAACAGATCTTGAAAGCCCATGATTCATGTCATTACAAATAATCATGATCATTAAAAATCCTAATATATCCTGATTTTCCCACTGTAGCACCTAAGTTATAAATTGCTGATTAAAAATGCATGGTCAAGACGCCAATATCCAGAAAACTGTGGAAACATCAAATGAAATAGCACCAAATAAACCGAATTTACAATACCAGCAGAATGGAAAGTGATATTAAAAAAGAACTGACTTGAATATTATAACCACTACTATAACCACCTCCAGGGAAGGATGCAGCTTTACCAGACATATCAAATCCATTATTATTCATATTGTCTGGGTCATCTTGTACAACCACCATGGATGTAAAAGGGGTCACCAGATTGTATTCCAGAGACATGTTGATAGCCAATGATTTTAGTTTGGCTTTTTCTACCTCATTTTTCTCGATTAAGTGCAACTTTACAAGGTCTTTGATCTGCATGTACACCCAGAGTTTTTCTGTGAAATCTTGAATTGTGATGTCAGACAGTCCACTAACGGATGCTGTAGGGGTATCCTGGACAACGACAGCCACAAGATCAATCTCATTGGTTGCTGTGTTACCATATACGGTTGCGGTCAGGACCTCTGATGCCGAATCTTGTATTTTTCCTGCAATAACAATCTCTGTTCCATTAAAATACTGAGGGTATGTATTTTGTGTAACAGATCCTGCTTCAATGACAGCATTCAGATAATCAACTCTAACATTCAACAGACTAGGGCTGCTGATTTTCTTGTAGAATGTATCCAGTTGGGACACTGCATCAGCCTCTGCATATATCCTCTGTGCATCACCGCCATTTTCGTAAGATAAGATCTGCAGAAACTCCAAACTGATGCCATAGCCAAATGCCAAGGAAAATAGAGAGACTTTACCATCAGCTGCATCTTTGACATTTTGTCGAATGGTAGATGTATCAGTTACGCCAGCTGTTGGCTCTCCATCTGTAAGGAATACAATAATCGGTGCTTTCTGTACTGAATCACTTACAACAGATTTCATTATAGTTATCCCGGTAATGAGGGCATCATTGATATTAGTGGATCCATCGGCAACAACATTTTCTCGAGCCCAAGATTTGGCTGCATTAATATTAGCAGCAGTAGCTTGCACTATCTGTTGATTCCATAAGACGACTTTATCATCGAATAGGAGAATAGCAAATCCATCATTCTCTTCAAGCTGGCCGAGAATCACAATAAGAGCATCTCGTGCCTGTTCCATTTTACTATATTGCCCACCACCCATGGAGCCGCTTATGTCAATGATAAATAGGATATTTTTGTTGAGTTGATCCAAACCACTTGGAGAGAAAAAGTGGACAAAATAATCACCAACAACATGTATCATCCCACCAGCGTTATCATGTGCCACATCATACCACACAAGTAGATCACCATTCAAGCCACCATCTTGTCCTTGTTCAACTGTACTTGGATAGTATGACACATGCTTCGTTGTAGTATCTTCATGAATTATTAGAGCAGTTGCAGTACCACCAACGGGAGCAGCAGCGTTGATACTCTCAATACCTTCAGGTTCATGGATATACACATCTACTTTCAAGTCTGGCACAATTTGATTTGGACGAACACTTAAATGTACATTGTAGAGGCCAAATTCACGGATCAGTAATTCCTGGTAAGAAATCTCAAATGTGGCAGAACTCAATGCAGCGACATTTACTGAGACAGCAAACAGTTCAAATGCTCTTTCAGGAGTCTCAGCTTTAGAATCTGATGCAACTTGGCCTGCGGTTGCACCAGATTTCTTGGCCTCATCATAAATCTTCTGGGCAGCCTCTTTTTCCATGACTTCCGCAACTAACAGTGTTCCATTAATTAACATAGTGAAGTTTGATATGAAAGCTGATTGGGGTATCTGAATCTTAAATTTTAACTCCGTAGCATTACTTGCAATATTTTCAATCACACTCGTTATCTGTGTGTTCATGAACCGTGACGTAACTCTGGAAACAATATTCATGGACCGAATGTTTGATGTAACAGGAGTTGTTGTTGGTTCTATGACATCTCTTCTAAATCTCTCAAGAACAGAGCCAACAAGTTTATAATTGTCAGATTTCACTGCATCTTCAGCGAGCAGTGGTTTTAAAACCAATGTTGTAAAATGGTCACTTCCTGATACCATAATTATCTCCAACAAAATCCATAAAATACAGAGCTTTCCCATGATTCAAAAGTAAGAGATGTATTAAGAATAGTGTCTTAGAATGTCGTGTATATGTTCACCACAATTTATCAGTAAACGCCTATACTATGAAGGAACAAACAGCAAATGAACTTGACATGATTTTAGCAATTTCCACTTCCTACATGATCAGATGTAAACAAATTGTGTTCAACATGTCTTAAACATTAATCAGTTCAAAGTAAAAATATGTATTTAGTTCTTGAAATATAGATATTTCTAGTAAAAGTGACATGAGTTTTTGGTATCGAGATAAATATATAAATTACTTAATCTATTTTTGGGTATGTAAAACATAATATAGTTCAATTTTGCATTAAAAATAGTATCAAAATATTAATCATATAAAGCATGATTTTGGTAACATGGATGTTGATATGACACGACGCGTTATAATCTTATTTTAGATTTTAGATTTCAACGCTTATTGCATTCGGGGTTTGCTTTTCAACGACCAACAAAATCAATATTACATGTATTATAACGTATCCATGGACTCATGCGGGCTTATTAGACCCATGTGGGCACTTTTCAAAATGATGGGTTCTTATGCAAAGAATCATACATTCAAAGACAGGTGTTGATAGAATTTTCTAAATACACGCCCGGTGATCGTACAAAAGGAGGAGGGGGGATTAGGCGATTTCTGCAAGAAAACTCAACAAATTTGGAAGATTTATAACTGAATTGCTAAATGAATAGGCGCAGTGCATGTCACAATATGTTAGGTCATCTAGTATTTTTTTTTGAACTGATACTCTTCTAAGATATGAGATCTATTAAAAAAGGCGCATCATCACCAACGTGCAAAAGTCAATGTTTTTGCTATAAATCGGGCAATAATGGTCTACACGACCTGTAATAAATAGGAATAAGGGATGCTATTATCACAATACTAATGACATTGCTCTTTTTTTAAAGTTAGTTTCCATGCGTTATACAAAAATAATCGAAATAAATTAATTTTGGATGGAGGGGGGATTTATATGTCTTTATGATGGAACAAATTCACAAGAACTCGTGTATTTCACTGGTGATCCACTCGATTACGCTGGTTACCAAAACGAACCGTTTTGGTAACAAAATGTCGGACCGTCGAAGGCACGATTTTTCTTTTTTCCTTATTTCACGCGTTGTAGGCAGAATCCCCACGACGTTTTTTCTCACAACATGCATCAGTATCATATGTTTTAGAAAATGTACATGTTTGCGAAAAAATAGCTCCGAGGACAACAGAATCGTCGATTTACTTCTTCACTTAAGTTACATAAACGGTTTTTCGAAAAACAGTTAAGGTCTGCACTTTTAACCCAAATCGTTTATGTAACTTAAGTGAGGAAAGAAAATCGACGATTCTGTTGTCTTCTGAACTATTTGTTCGCAAATATGTACAATTTCTTAAACATATGGTACTGATACACGTTTGTGTTAAAAAATGTCGTGGGAATTCTGCCTACAACGTGTAAAATAAGGAATCGAGAAAAATCGTACCTTCCGGATGTTCCGACATTTTGTTACCAAAACGAGCCGTTTTGGTAACCAGCGTAATCGAGTGGATCACCAGTGTATTTGAAAAAACTAGTAAACTCAGTACCCCAGTAAGAAACTGGATATTATATCTCTGGAGAATGAAAAATGGGAAAATTTGGAGTCATAAGAATAAGTAGCATGTCTTATCATGTCTTATATACACGTTATCCCCCTCCATCATACCCCCCCCCTCCATCCAATATTAATTTATTTCGATTATTTTTTGTTTAACGCAATTTTGAATATTTTTTATTTATTTATTTATTTTATTTGACAGACGCCTTAGAAACTAAAATAGGTGCGTCACATTTTAAAACATAATACATACTAAAAACATTTATACAAGAACTTTATACACTTCTCGGTTTAAAAATCTTAATTAAAAATCTTTTGACTAAATTGTCAATGACAATTCCATTGCGGCTTGCCCCCAGTCCTCAAAGATTACATCACCTAACATGCAAATAAGTTTTCTCTTAAAATTTGAGGATAAAAACATGGAGCTTAATTCTCTTGGACATTTGGACTCAATATCGAAATAAAATCCTGATCTCTCTTTAATAAAGGCGAGGCATTCTAGGAGTCTATGTGTGATATCATCTTTACATTTACAATCCCACAACTTACAAATCCCATCACTTTTATTCCATCTTTCGTAATTACCTAATTTTCAATATGATTAATGGATAAAACATGTTTAACCTCATTTAAACATAAACAAAAAAGACCAATGAGAAAAAGAGGTATCAAAATGCGAACTCCAATGCAGTGTCTCGGTATAGACACTGCGGCTGGCAGATGAAGCAAATCCCCAAAATTTGGGGAAAATAGTTCCCCTTTTCATCGCATATGTGGTCAATTTTCACACATCTTATAAAATATATATTCATGAATGTTCCCCAAACATTATTTTGTCAAAATATTTCAAAATTATTGAAATATGAGAAGAAATCACCGCGGAAGGAATTCTGAGTAAAAGTTTTGTTGATAATAGTTTACCGCACGTGTTGTTTATTAGTTAATACGCGCAATTCAACCAATGAAATTGTCTAAACTTTACAATCACGCGACCTGAGCATGGGACTAGAACCAATCACGTCAGTTGTTTATTACGAAGTTACCATGCTTACGGTGAGATACCTGCCCGCCGCAGTGATATATCACTGCACGGGAGTTCATATCACTGCACGGGAGTTCGATCAAAATGTTATCTTCGAATGTTGCATTGTGGGTTATCATTCAAGAACACATTCCAATAAAAATATAATTTGTGGGAGAATGTTCACTTTCATTATTGCAAAAATTGTGATGAATTCCATTTTATATTAAATTATCAACATGTATGCAGATAATCATGTTTTTACTTTTGAGTTATTTCTAAAACCATACGTGAAAAGTACAAAATAAGAATTTTCTTGGAATGTGTGCAGGAAGCATTTTTCTTCAATTTTGAAAACCCAAGGCAATACTTATGTATGAAATATGGAAAGTTGTATACCCTCCGGCCCGTAGCCAGGATTTGCCAAGGGGATTCAGTTTTTGAAAAATTCTAGGGGTTTCACTTGTGATAATTTTGGTCCAAAAATGGCCAAAATCTCTTAAAAAGTTCTCAGAATTGTGAAAAACTGCATGATTGTGCAAGATTTCTTTGGCCGGGGGGGGGTCGCTCGAACCCATCGAACCCCCTGGCTACGGGCCCGACCCTTCTGTTGAAAGCCCAAACCCATGATAAAACCTTCGAAAAAATGTAGAACACAATCCATTATTAAAATGAAACATCAAAGTGTGCGATGGTTGATATATAAGAAAAGCCCTCACATAGAACAGATAAGAATTTTAAGGGCCGTTTTGCCCCATGTCCCCCGATATCATTCGTTGATATACGTCCAAGGTTAAATGAGGAACTCATCCCTTATCGCTTAGGATTCAACCACTGGCGGATTAGGGGGGGGGGGGCTGGGGGCCCGGGCCCCCCCCCCTTGGGTGGGCCCAGAAAAAAAAATTGGGCCCAAAAAAAAATTTTGGGCCAAAAAAGGCCAAGGCCCCAAAAAGTGGGCCTTTTTGATCATTAGGTCTTTTAAGGCCTTATTTTTTAATTTCAAGCCAAATTTTGAAGAAAATGGGCCTCAAAATTTCAAGATTTGGGCCCACTTTTGGGTTTTAGGGGCCCAAAATTTTTTTCCTCGCAAGCGCGGACATTTTTCATCTGACCTGAATTTGGGCCCCCCTCCCTTGGTGGTTCCCAGATCCGCCCCTGCAACGGATTGCGAAAGAGAGAGGAGCTATCTGATCTACAAATTATATGACTGATATAAGACTGAACATTTCAAACTCTCCATGTATGGGATGTTTTCTGCTTTGTTATTCGTATTTTACTATATGCATCATATTTGTATTTGTAATTTGGGAATTTTATTTGTAAATCGGTTCCATTAATATTCGTATAAGGGAATTTATTCCAAACGAATAATGAAGCAGTTATGACGCTATACCTTGGCATTTTTATTTTTTAATTGTCGAATTTATTTTCGTCACAACAAGGTAATATGTTTTCGTAAAAGTGCACATTTATTGTTCGTAAATATTATCATTTGTATTCGTAAATTGCCCTTTTATATTCGTTTTTTATTGGTTTATTAAGATCACGTGATCATTCTCAACGAGACACGGTCAACCAATGGTCAAAGTCATCGCCCCCTCCCCCACGCACACCTAAAGCTCTCATGCCACGTGACCTATGCCTCGAGACTTGCAGTTTATATTCGTTAATTCACATTTGTATTCGTAAACTCACATTTATATTCATAAAGTTTCATTTTATCATTAAAATTATGTACGAATATTTCTTTGCTTTCTGCAATAATTCATGGGTAATATGCAACATTCGAACATGACTGTATTCACGCCTTCTATAAACTGTAAACAAAGTCAACATTTCACCCGGGGTATATTTGCGAACAATACCCCTGGTTATACGTGTAATGTGTGACGGCATAAACGTTGTAATGGCGGACCATAATGAATATTCGAAACATTTCGGTGAGTTTTTCATGTTCGAATCGTATTATAGACCTCGGAGCAGGTGTAATATCGTCGAATACATCCCTTAGGGCTAGGCACAAAATCTTTCGAACCCGTCACTCCCTTCGGTCGTTCAGGGTACAGAAAACGTTCGTGCCTAGCTCTGCGGGGTGTATTCGACAATATTACCCCTGCTCTTCGGTCTATATTTCTTAATAAATGCATGGAAATATGTAAACCTAATCATAAGGGGTCAGGTGTTTTAGCATTTTGTAACATTTCGTAGCATTTATATATAACACTTTATTAATTGAATATGTTTCAGTGATAGTGATGTTCTTTAGCCTCGGGTAGCACGAAAAGTCATAATGCGATTTATATCTGGTTTGTTTTATCTGAAAGGACATTGGATTAGATGGAATTTCATGTTGATAGAATGATTATTTCTGATAAAATTATTGCAAAGAATGAGCTCTGGGGTCCCAAAAACCATTTAAGGGTTAATTGTGACGCTGCACCATGGACGAATATTCAACGCCATGATCAACCGACCATTTTAATCAGAAATTCCAAGTATTCTGTGATATTTCGTGGTATGCGCAATTGAATGCGCAGGGTACGAATTTCTGACATATGCAAATGAGATTTTGTTTACGCCATCTTGAAATTCTATGATATTTCAGAGGTAAAAATCAATCAAAATCCACTGAAAATAACTTGCATCAACCAACATATTGGAGCAGGGATTACGCATTAAGGTCTTGCAATGACATCTACGGACGCCAAACTCTCCACGACGGAGCGAGTCGTGAGAAGTGAGTATTTTTTTCATAGATACCCATTCTAATTATAGATTCAAAATATTCCGCCATTTTGCTTAGCTGTCAACACAAAACCAAACCATGTACTAGATACATATGCAAAAATTAAAACTATTTGTAGCTCTTCGTTGCACTTAGTTTGTTCTTGTGTTTTGACGGATCTGATTGCATTGTGCACTCGCTTCTCATTCTAAATCCCTGTCAAAATTCGTCTGCATATTTTCCAGTTTTATCAGCTTCACAGTTCATTCATTTCACTTTCGATTTTCTAGGCCTACTGTCAATAAAAACAAACAAATGGTTTATTGACATTCTGACTGATTGATCTCAATATATTATGTTAGTTTGCACTGTGAAATCTTATGTATATTGCACTAAGAGAACTTTGTTATTGTTTTCAATGTCAAGTTTTGTGACAACTTTTTCAGTTGCAACTTTTGCATAGTCATATAAATCCGACCGTTGTATGCTGTTCTTCGATATTCCTTGTCCTTATTTGGATATTTATTTTTTATCATTTTCTTTGCATACACCGTCGTAGATATTATATGGAACAAATTGCGGTAAACGCTTTTCTGGCCTGTCTCGGTAACCATAGTTACCATACTAACCAAAGTCACACAAATTATCGAGTAATTATTTAGTTCCAACATTAAAGTGTTAAATCTTACCTTAGACATGTAAAACGCTTGATAATTGACGAAATATGATCAATTGAATTATATTTTCATTATCGCCCGCCATGTTGCTGAATGCTGTTTCCGGTAGTCTAAATGTAAAACATGTATCGAAACGGAATCATAATTATTTATTATCGATTCCAAAGCCGTTCTCTTACTTTTCTCATTTTGAAACAATAACTTTTCCAAATAACTTCCCTTCTTAACGACACTGCTTCCCTTTCAACTGAATCTTCGTGTAACAAGTACTTATGATTTCGTTTGATATAGTTTTACATCTAGACTCAGATTAACCCGGAAGTGACCTTGGCATGGCAAAATGAAAAAATTTTAAAATTCAAGCGGCATGCTTATATTTCTTCAATTACCAAGCGTTTTACGTGTCTAAGGTAAGATTAAATACTTTATAGTTGAAGCAAAGACATTTATTTATCATTTGTGTGAATTTGGTTGGGTAGACAGGCCAGGAAAGCATTTCCCGCAATTTAGATGCGCGGAGTGTGTATGACCCTTGTATGCAAGAAAATAAGAAAAAATAAATATCCAAATCAGAAAAAATAACAACTAATAACATCATACGAGGGTCAGATTTATATGACTACTTTTGCATTGAGACCATCATCATCTTCACATTATTTAGCTCCACCAGACATCAAGTTGAGACACTCTTTGTCATAAGAAAAATGAAGAGAACATATGTCAATCCACATTTCACATCAGCCCTTAGTTCAACAAGTTAAACTTTAATGCATCCTACGACCCCTTTAGATTGTGGTCGTACGCCCGATTCATTGGTAAGCCTGTCTTTCTACAATGTCGGAGAATGAACTACGCATTGCACTATTAAATTAGGGGGTTCTGACCATTTTTAAAAATACATTCTTTTGATATCAAATCACTCTCATTAGATGCAGAATTTTTTTCTGAGTCCTATGCTTTTTACGGAATCAGAATCGGTGAAAAAATGGCCGAATAATGTCAAATATAGTGGTTAAAATCCATGGATATGGAACGGACATTTTAATCCCATTGAAAATACATGGGATTCATTGAAATACATTGAAACTACATGGTTCCAAAATGGCCCTTAAAATGGCCTAATATAAGTGTCATTCAGTGGTAATATTCATATTTAACAAGTTTGAGTTGAGTAATTGATCCCAAATTTTCACCGTTTCACCTTCTCATGTTTTTCTATCAGATTATAAACAATTGAAAAAAATTCAAGGTGGCCGCCTTAGTAACAAGCACAAATAACAAAATGGCTGCCGATATTTGAAAATTACTATATATTTCATCTTAAATAACCTACATTTGTCAATCTCTGTTCTGTTAAAACACAACATACAGACTTGAAATGCATCATGTTTTCACTATTTTGATGAAGAATCATGATTAAGTAAAATAAAGCACCTCTGATAATATAATGGTTGCCATGGTAACCCCCATAGTAGCCCGACCCTAAGCAACAGAAACAATGTACGAAATGGCAACATTTGTCCACACAACTAATATATAGTGTAATATACTATCTTTGTTCAGCAATACAGAACTTGGGTCCTTTAAAATTTAAAATACAATACTGACAATTATTTTTTGAATAATGTTATTTTTAATATTTGTAGTTGTACAAAGAACCATAATAAAGAACTGGTGATAATATAGTGGTTGCCATGGTGACCCCATGTTCAACATGGCAACATTTCTCTATATTTATTTTGGTAGGCCTAATTGTGGTAGACATAATTGTGAAATATCTTTGGTCACCAATAGATATCTTATCTCAATCCTGGTTCTTTTATGGTTAAAAAACAATACTAAAGAAACCATGTTTTGTTGCCAAGCAACTGCATAGCAACCATTGTGTCGATATACTAGTACCTAGATTTATTTTAAAAATGATTATAGCACAAACTCTATTCTGTTGAAATGTATCATGTTTTTACTGTTTTGATGAAGAACAATGATTCAATAAAATAAAGAACTGGTAATAATATAATGGTTACCATAGTAACCTTCTAGGTGGCCCCACCCTAACCAAATGAACAGCAACATTTCTTGTTGAAAAGGGGACTGTTTGTTTGATTACATTTGCTTATTTACAACAGCTTACCTTGAATTCGGATGAAATGCCTTTAATACCGTTGAAATTGAAGAGGCTCTACGCCATAGGATAGCACAATCAAGACACCTCTGGACTTTTTTTGCATATTTAGTTTCACTACATATATTTACCAAAAAAGATGTCCCAAATCCCCCTCTTTCAATGTAAATTTTGCGATTGTGCTGGCCGATGTAATTATTTTTGAAGAAAGTAATTCAATCTGAAGTTAGAATATTCCGGGAAAGTCCTCCTGATTGGTCGTTGAATTTGTTTATCATAAACCTTGTTGGCTCCCTGTTTCAAGGGCTTATGGGTGCTTGTGGGGATTCCCCTCGATAGCCTAGAAATCGATTGCATTTAATTCTGCAGTTTGATTGTTCTGTTGATTATATCCGATATTTCGGCAATAATATAACCAAAAGTTAATCTCAAGATATATCCATGATATGTGAGATATTGTTTGAGCAATAACAAAAGGACATCATTGATTGTCTTGGGGAGAAAACTATGGCATAATGCATCTTTAATAGCCATGTCTTCATTTGAGCAATGTGTAAGTGTAGAAAATGTCCATTGTGTTTCCTCTGGTTTGTTCGAGCGTTAGCATCCCCTGCCTCTAGTCGGATTGTCTAACAAAAAACCTTTTTTGGGGTTGTCGCGTTGGCTGAGAGGTCTTGAGCGCCAGCACATTCCAGCTAGGTATATGGGTGCCTTAAACCAAGAGGTTGTGAGTTTGAGATGTGTGTGCTCCTTGTGTTAATCCATTCATTAGAAATGACCATACTTCTCTTTCACAGCCTGAAAAAATATTATGAAGAGTTACAAGAAGTCACACTTATTACAGAGTACAGTAAAATAGAGTACCTATAAGTATGTATGTACAATTTATGGAAAAACTTTTAGAACATACATTAGGGCTGCCATCATTAGTCGGAACGTCGACTTGTCAGTCAAAATGCAAGTTCGACAACGAAGTCGACAAAAATTCCCGTCATGTCGACAGCAAACGATATCAATACTTACTTGAAAATATCCAAATGGCCCCAATACATTTCAATACACATTTCAACGTGTTATGTGCGCGTATTCTGCGGAAATATTGTTCACATTCATTTCATTTTCAAAAAATAAATTCACCCGGAAGTTCCCTTCATGACTTCTCTTCTCTCTTGCGAGACGTTGTACGAGATTTCGCCCGAGCAGTCGAAATAAATCCCGGTCGAAACATTGCAGGTATTTGTCCCATTTTCGTCTATAATATTCTATTAACTTGGCATTTAGTAACAATATTAGGCAATTACATACCAATATGAATATAAGTTATATGAAGCTTTTCCCCGATAGTGTATAAAGTGTGTTAATGAACCAGATAAAAAAGATTTGGAAAAAACGAACCAACAACACAGAAATAATTTTTCTTTTTTTCCCGATGATTTTTTCTCCCTGGAAAGTTCGATTGTCGACAATATTTTCGACAGCAGAGTTCGACTGTCGACACTGACATTTGAGTTCGATGGCAGCCCTAACATACATACATAATCTAGTAGTCTACTGCTTATTGCAATAGATCTCCACAAAACAAAATAGTAGCTTTAGATTTTACACTTACATATGTCCACCCTATGCAGACAGAGCCTGTGGGAAATATTGGGTGCGGCGCAAATGAGCGGAGGGTGCGGAGCTAACGGTCATTTTTGAATTTAGAATTGGGGTATTTCTGAAACTAAGCCGTTTTGGGACTTCAAATATACCAAGATATGTGTATTTGACACCAAATATCAATAAAATTGTGAAAATAGTAGTGCAATTCATTTTATAGCGACGCAGTATGCCTTAAACATTTCCCAGACCTATATATTTTGAGACTATCCTTTTAATACTGCGTCCCCAGCATTCATAAAAAATGATGTTCAAGATACACTACCCATGCAAATTATTTTTGCATCTTTAAAGCCAGGCAGTATCTGTGTGATTTTATAAAAATTCGGAAATGTTCTTCAGATATGAGCCCCCTCTAAATATTGGGTGCGGAGCTACGTTTATGGAGCTGCTCCGCACCCAATATTTAGAGGGGGCTCATATCTGAAAAACATTTCCGAATTTTTATAAAATCACACTGATACTGCCTGGCTTCCAAGATGCAAAAATAATTTGTATAGATAGTGTACCTTGAACACCATTTTTTATGAATGCTGGGGACTCAGTATTAA